GCGCGGGTCAGGGAGCGGGTCAGGGCGCGGGCAGGGGCGCGGGCAGGGGCGCGGGTCAGGGCGCGGGTCAGGGCGCGGGCAGGGGCGCGGGCAGGAGCGCGGGTCAGGGCGCGGGTCAGGGCGCGGGCAGGGGCGCGGGCAGGAGCGCGGGTCAGGGCGCGGGTCAGGGCGCGGGCAGGGGCGCGGGCAGGAGCGCGGGTCAGGGCGCGGGTCAGGGCGCGGGCAGGGGCGCGGGCAGGAGCGCGGGTCAGGGCGCGGGTCAGGGCGCGGGCAGGGGCGCGGGCAGGAGCGCGGGTCAGGGCGCGGGTCAAGGCGCGGGCAGGGGCGCGGGTCAGGGCGCGGGCACGGGCGCGGGTCAGGGCGCGGCGCCGAGGGCACGGGACCCCCTCGCAGCGCGGCCCTCACCTTGTCCTCGCACTTGCCCACGTCCAGGGCGTGGTTGATGTAGGTGACCAGGGCGTCCACCAGCCCGTGGCACTCCCGCATTTTCTGGCGAGTGGCCTGAGAGGCTGAGCTGAGGTTCCTGGAGACGGAGGCAGATCAGAGCCCCCCAGGAACCCCGAGGCCCAGGCCCTGAGCACGATGCCATGCCACGCTGGGTCCCGCTGGGCCCCGCTGGCCCCACCCCCAGTGCGCCCGCGCAGTGTGTGGGGCTGTGGGCGCCGGGCCAGGAGGGTCCCTGACAACACGCGTGCCTGCGGCCCCCACCCCTCCGCCGAGGCTGGCGCACCTGAGGAAGCCGGTGGCGTTGTAGAAGATTTCCGCCTCTGAGGCATTCTGCTGGATCAGGGGGGGACCCCCAGACCCCGACAGGGGGCTCAGCACCAGGTCGGTGAGCTGTTCCAGAGTGTCTCTGGCCAGCCGGTCCTTCAGGTGGTCGCTGGATGAAAGGTTCCACAGGATTCCTGGGCGAGGGGGGCTGCCGTGAGCTTCAGCCCTCCAACCCCCGGGAGTTTCTGGGGAAGGTGTGAGGAGGTCCTGCCTCTTCCCAGGCTGGCCCTGTGCTCTGCTCATTCACGAGCCCCGCTGGGGAGACCCTGGGGTGGCATCTGGGGTGACAGAGCTCGGACCAAGCAAGAGGGGACAAGCTGGTTGGGGTGTAAGCAGGCTGGGGGTGGAGGCAGCTACCAGGAGACACAGCCGCAGAACAGGGTGGCCAGGGGTCCAGGAAAGAGGCAGGAGTGGAGGCCAAGTAGAAACAGCCAGCAAAGGGGCCGAACAGCAGGACGGAGGGGAGCCGTACGGGGCGGAGGGGTCGCCACGGAGGACAAAGGACAGTCGGAGAAGGGAGGGGGTCAGGCGGAGGAGGGGTCAGGTGGAGGAGAGGTCAGGCAGAGGAGGGGTCAAGGGGAGGAGGGGTCAGGCGGAGGAGGGAGAACAGGTGGGGGGACACAGTGAGGACAGGAGGCATGGGGCCAGGCAGAGGGTGTAGGTG